GTGGCTGGCGCCTTAGCCAGTTGAGCTATAGGCGCCGAGCCGGCTATTTTTTTTCTTATTGTTGCAGTTGTCATTGTTGTTTTAGCTGGCCCAGGCCAGATTCGAACATGCCACCCTCGCTATGTGTGGCTGGCACCCTACCCACTGAGCTACGGGTGCCACTGGGAGGTAATCTTTAAGGCCTTAAATTGTCTAAACTGAAAATAGTGCTTTGTTTACCTGGGGTCTTGGACCACTCCAGAGAGTTCAGAGTTTATGGTGACCATCTGACTTACAGTGGGGACCTTGGGCTGTGTGACATCCAGAAGGGTTGGAAACTAAATGTTATGTTTTGTTTTTTTTTTTTCTTTCTTCCTTTAGCAATTCGGCTTTTTTTTTTCCATGTTGGTCTTTTGCTGGTCTTATGCTGGTCTCGAACCTCTAGAGCTCAGGTGATCCACTTGCCTTGGCTTCCCACAGTGCTAGGACAATAGGTATGAGCCACCATGCCTGGCCTTTTTTTTTTTTTTGAGGCAGAGACAGATTCTCACTCAGTAGCCTTGCATAGAGTGACATGGCATTATCTGAGCTCACAGCAACCTCAAATTCTTGGGCTCAAGTTATCCCCTTGTCTCAGCCTCCTGAGTAGCTGGGACTACAGGTGTCTGCCACAACACCTGGTTAGCTTTTCTATTTTTAGTAGAGATGGGTCTCTCACTTTGCTCAGGATTGTGTCAACCCCCTGAGCTCAGACAATCCACCAACCTCAGCCTCCCAGAGTACTAAGACTATAGGCATGAGCCATAGTGCCTGGCTTAATGTTATGGGTTGAATTTTATCTCTCCCCCCAAATCCTAACCCCCAGAACTTGTTTGGAAATAGGATCATTGCAGATATAATTAGTTTAGATGAGGTCTTACTGAAGTAGAGTGGGCCCTGATCCAATGACTAGTGTCCTTATAAAAAGAGACTATTTGGACACAGACATGCACACAGGGAGAAAGCCAAAGAATGCTGAAGATAGCCAATGACCACCAGAAGCCAGGAGAGGCCTGGGATAGATTCTTTCTCACAGCCTCAGGAGGAACCAGTCCTGCTGACATTTCAGTCTTGGACTTCTGGCCTCCAGAACTGGCAGCTAATAAATGTCATTTATTTAAGCCACCCTATCTTTTTTTTCTAATTTACTTAAGCCACCCTATGTTTGTTTGTTTTTTTTTTTTTGAGACAGAGTCTCACTATGTCGCCCTCAGTAGAGCACTATGGCATCACAGCTCACAGCAACCTCCAACTCTAACTCTTGGGCTCAAGTGATTCTCTTGCCTCAACCTCCCAAGTAGCTGGAACTACAAGTGCCTGCCACAGTGCCAGGCTATTTTTTGGTTGCAGTTGTTAATGTTGTTTAGCAGGCCTGGGCTGGGCTTGAACCTGCCAGCCTTGGTGTACATGGCTGGTGCCCTACTCACTGAGCTACAGCGCTGAGCCCCCATCTTTGTATGTTGTCACAGCAGCCCTAGCAGGCACATACCTTGAAGGGGACTCTGCAAGCAGTAGGTGCCCCAGTAAAAACCCTGGACACGGAGGCTCAGATGAGCTCTCTAGTGAGCAGCTTTGTGTATGTTGTCACCAGGATAACTAAGTGCTGTCCGTGCTGGGAGAGGATGCCTGGAAGTCCCTGCAGTGGTTTCTCCAAGACTCTGCCTGATGTCTCTTTTTCCTTTACTGACTTTCATCTTTTCCTTTCACTGGTATTTGAGATGTCCCTTTCAATGTAAGAAGCTATAAGCATGAGTATAACAGCTTTTCTGAATTCCATGAATACTTTTAGTGAATCACCGAACCTGAGGGTGGTCTTTGGGATTCCCCAGCCATAGTTGCCAACTTCAGTCCGCCTCATGAAGTTTGGATACCTGTAAGTCTCTTTGCCATAGTCATCCTCCACTTCCAAGTACTAGATTCTATAAGTGTTCCTTTCACCATTTTGCCAGTTTCAAAATTATATATATATTTTTTGAGACAGAGCCTCAAGCTGTCACCCTGGGTAGAGTGCCATGGCTTCACTGCTCACAGCAACCTCCAACTCCTGGGCTCAAGCGAATCTCCTGCCTCTGCCTCCCAAGTAGCTGGGACCACAGGCGCCCGCCACAACGCCTGGCTATTTTTTTTTTTTTTTGGTTGCAGCCATTATTGTTGTTTGGCGGGTCCAGGCTGGATTCAAACCCGCCACCTTAGGTGTATGTGTGGCTGGCGTCTTAGCCTCTTGAGCCACAGGCGCTGAGCCGAGTTTCAAAATTATTATACAGGAGTCCACCTTATTCTTGAGGAATATGTTCCAAAACCCTCAATGGATGCCTGAGACTGTGTGTAATACGAAGCCCCATATATACTGTTTTCTCCTGTACTACACAGCTACCATAAAGTTAAAGTTATAAATTTGGCACAGTAAGACATTAAATAGCAGGGCATGGTGGTGCGTGCCTATAGTCATAGCTACTCAGGGGGCTGAGGTGGGAGGATCTCTTGAGTCCAAAAATTTAAGACCAGCTAGGGCAATATAGGGAGATCCTGTCTTATTAAAAAACTGAGGAGATAGGGTGGCACCTGCGGCTCAAAAGGGTACGGCACTGGCCCCATGTGCCAGAGGTGGTGGGTTCAAACCCAGCCCCGGCCAAAAAAACCCAAAAAACAAAAAACTGAGGAGATGCTCAGTGCCCGTAGCACAGTGGTTACAGCACCAGCCACATACACTGAGGGTGGTGGGTTCAAACCTGGCCCCAGCCAGCTAAACAACTGCAACCAAAAAATAGCTGGGCATTGTGGCAGGTGACTGTAGTCCCAGCTACTTGGGAGGTGGAGGCAGGAGAATCACTTGAGCCCAGGAGTTGGAGGTTGCTGTGAGCTGTGACGCCACAGCACTCTACTGAGGGTGACAAGTGCGACTCTGTCTCAAATAATAATAATAATAAAATAAAATAAATACTATATGAAACTGTAGCTTATTTTTGTTTTGATACATATCTTATCTTTCCCTCCTGATTATTGACTACATTTGTGTGTGTGTGTGTGTGTGTGTGTGTGTGCATGTGTGAGAGAGAGACAGGATCTTGTTCTGTGGCCCTAGGTAGAGAGCAGTGGCCCACTATACCCTTCAACTCCTGGGCTCAAGTGATCCTCTTGCCTCAGCCTCCTGTGTAGCTGGCACATGTCCCCATGCCCAGCTAAATTTTTCTACTTTGTGTACAGACGGCATCTCACTCTTGCTCAGGCTGGTCTTGAATTCCCGAGCTTAACCAATCCACCCACCTCAACCTCCCAGAGTGCTAGGATTACAGGCATGACCACTGTGCCCAGGCTTCTTACAGCATTTTAATTGTTAACATCTGCTCCTTACGTCCTTTTGGTAACCCCTGCACTGCTGACAGGACAGAGCTCCAGTTCCTGGTATTCAAGATTTCTCACAGTCTGGCTGAAGACTGTCTTTTCAGCCTGATATCTTCTCCTTGCTCACCGTAGGAGTCTCCACTTCACACACTTAGGTTTTTCCTTTTCTGTGCCTTTTGCTCATGTCCTGCCCTGTACCATGGCAGCCCCTCCCTTTTCTCTCCTCAGCTGCTATATGTGCCAGGCCTATGCGCCCACGTGTGTAGTGAGCCAGGGAGCAAAGCTGGTAGCTAACCATGGAAGGGGACATGGCCCAGAGACCAGGCCAGATAAGCAGACTGACCACAGTGCGCCTCATCAGATCCATCAGTGCAGTCTGCTCTGTCGTCACACTCCGGGTTCACTTTGGTCACACACTGGCTATTCTGGCAGGAAAAGGAGCTCTCTGGACAGTGGCCTGAGGACAGAGAAGAGGTAAGTTCCTGACCTCGCTCTACTTCTGACTCCAGCGAGGCACCGCTGTCCACATGGAAACTCGAGGGTGTGGAAAACGTCTCTCATCTGTTCATGCAACTCTAAGTATTTCAGAAATAATTATCTTGGAATAAATCCAGAGAATAATAACAGAAGCACACCAGTCAGTGCCAAGGCGGGGTCTGCATAGCAGAAACATGTGAGCCTCATGTGTACTCTCAGATTTTCTAGTAGCTACAAATTGTAAAAAGTAAGAAACAGGTTAAATTAAAATTTCAAAAACCATAGGAAAGTACACATCACATAAAAGATATCAACTTAACCAAAAAGATATGCATTTTAATGAAAGATGTGAGATAAGCATGTTTTGGATCTGGCAATTCAACTTTTAGGACTTTATAATTGAGGATTTTTCTAAATTGATTTTTTTTTAAACAAGAAGCTTCCACCTCTTTTTAAAAAACACACAAACCAATAATGTTTTCTCATTACCACGTATGGCCATATACAATTCAAAGTGCCTCCTCTTTAAACTCTTTGCTCACACAGGGCCATGAATCTGTCTCCTCCATAGGAAGCTGAGAAACCAGCCCCAAACCAGCCTTTACAATGTTCCAGGGGCTTATTTTGCTTACTTGAAAGAAGTCTTAGGAAAGCTCTGCAAGTACCTGCAATCAGAGGAAACGACAGAGAGAAAAACATACCTGATTTTAGGTCTCTTTCTGCCAGTGGCCCCTCATGGCTTCCTGTAGCAAACAGAGCAGATATGAGCTCATTCAGTGAATGGTGAAATTCTGTGAAAACATCTAACTGCAGACGGGTCACTAAGACCTCAACCAGCACATGGGGCTTGGTAGGGAAGGAACCATAAATGGGGCAAATCATAAAGCTGTCTCTTCTGCCATCGGGGTCACTTAATGACTTCAATCAATGGAGATTTTTTTTGGAGGGGGGCCAGGGCTGGGTTTGAACCGGCCACCTCCGGCATATGGGGCCAGTGCCTTACTCCTTTGAGCCACGGGCGCTGTCCTTTTTATTTATTTGTTTTTTTGAGACAGAGCTTTAAGCTGTCACCCTGGGTACAGTGCTGTAGTGTCACAGCTCACAGCAACCTCTAACTCCTGGGCTTAAGCGATTCTCTTGCCTCAGCCTCCCAAGTAGCTGGGACTACAGGCACCTGCCACAATGCCTGGCTATTTTTTGGTTGTAGTTGTCACTGTTGTTTGGCAGGCCTGGGCTGGGTTCGAACCCACCAGCTCTGGTGTATGTGGCTGGTGCCTTAGCTGCCTGAGCTATAGACGCTAAGCCAGTCAATGGAGATTTAATAAAACCTAACATTTCTCAGTCCCATAGCACTCAGTAGCTACAACAGCTGGCGGTCCCCACATCAGGAGGCACAAACAGGGAACATTTCCATCACCAAGGGAAGTTCTATCAGATAGCACTGAGGCAGCGGTCACTAGTACCTCAATCAGCATGTCAAGCTTGGTGGGGAGGGAACCATAAATGTCCTGCACAGAAAGGTGAAGGGGACAAATCTGTAACCTAACAACACTCTGAATTGGTGTCTGGCACTCCAGTTGTGACCTGCTGCACTGGACAATTTTAGAGCATAGCATTTGCTCTTATTTCTGTAGCAAGAATTGGCCAACTACTGCTATGGGCCAAATCTGGCCCACTGCTTGTTATTATAAATAAAGTTTTATCAGTACAGAGCCACAGTCATTCTTTTATGTATTATCACAGGCAGTGCTTGTGCTACGATATAGAATTAGGTAGTTGTCACAGTACCCAAATAATTATACCCTGGTCCTTTACAGAAAGAGGTGGCTAACTCCTGATCTATACCACTGAGGCAAAAGCAAGGTGGGTGTGTTTTGTTTTCATGGGATGGGGGATGATTAAAAAGCTAAAATTGCATGCAATTTGCTATGGCTCCCCTCCCACAGCAGCCACCACCAGCCTCCTCCTGATGGTGTCTGGTCTTCATTGCCTGCTTACCCACAAGCTCTGCTGACACAATGGTGCCATAGGCAGCTAGGGGGATGTCCTGTTCCTGCAGCCTTGCCTGGATCCCCTGCTGTAGTAGCTCTTCCTCCACACCCCGGCTCAGAGGCTGGAGGGCTCGTAGCTGGAAGTGCAGCTGGAAATGCACGAGGACACTGGAGTTCCCATCCCTACAGGGAGGAAAAGAGGCCCTTGGAGAGGGAGGGCCTCCTCCCTGCTGGGATCTTCTAGAATCTTCTGAAATTCTCCAGAATCTCCCAGAAGTCCATTAAGTTTCCTTCACTAAGTAGAAGCTCCAACTCACCTGTAACCCAGCACCGTGCAGCCCACGCAGCTCGACTCTAACTCTGTCTTCTGAAAGCTACTTACAAACTGCAACGGAGACACCAGCAAATGTTGAGCTCCATGGCACCAGCACCCTGCGACCAGGGAGCCTGTCGTGTGCTCAAGGAACCTGGAGAAGGGGTCAGTTCCATGGGAAAGCATTTCCTTCTAAACTCAGTAAATGGAGAGGGTTTGCAGAGTCATGTGAATGACAGGAAGGAGCATTTCACATAAGAGTATTGCTCTGTCAACAGATGGATAATTAACACAATGGGATACAGTCAGTCATAAAAAAGGAATGAATTCCACTTCTGGGGACAGATCCAAAAGAAATGAAAGCAGGACTGAAGAGACACTCACACACCAATGTTCACAATGGCAAAGGTGGAAAAAACACAAGCAGGTCTATCAAGAAATGAATAAACACAATGTGGTCCAGCCATGGTTGGTCTCAAGGTACTGACTTATCTCACTTGATTGTTCCAATGTGACCCATCCACTGGAATATCACTAAGCCATGAAAAGGAACGAGGCTCTGACAGGCTACATCATGGGTGGACCTTGAGGACATTGTGCTCAGTGAGACAAGCAGACGACACAGAAGGATACACAGTGTGAAATTCCATTTATATGAAATGTCCAGAACAGGCAGATCCACAGAGTTAGAAAGTGGATTCGTGGTTGTCAGGGGTCAGGGAGGAGATAGAGGTGGGGAGTGACTGCTAATGGGGATGGGGCTTCCTTTTGGGGTGATGAGAATGTTCTGGAATTAGAGGTGATGACTGCACAACATTGTGAATATACTAAATGCCACTGAATTGTATACTTTTTTTTTTTTTTTTGAGACAAAGTCTCACTATGCTGCCCTCCATAGAATGCTGTGCATCACAGCTCACAGCAGCCTCCAACTCTTGGGCTTAAGCAATTCTTTTGCCTCAGCCTCCCAAGTAACTGGGACTACAGGCACCCACCACAATGCCTGGCTATTTTTTTGTTGCAGTTCCCATTGTTTAGCTAGCCTAGGCCAGGTTCAAACCGGCCAGACTCGGTGTGTGTGGCTGACACTGTAACCACTGTGCTATAGGCACTAAGCCTGAATTATATACTTTAAAAAAATGTTAATTTTTTTTTTTTGTGAGACAGAGCCTCAAGCTGTCCCCCTGGGCAGAGTGCCGTGGCATTATAGCTCACAGGAACCTCCAACTCCTGGGCTCAAGCGAGTCTCCTGCCTCAGCCTCCCAAGTAGCTGGGACCACAGGCGCCCGCCACAACGCCCGGCTATTTTTTGGTTGCAGCCGTCATTGTTGTTTGGCGGGTCCGGGCTGGGGATTCGAACCCGCCACCTTAGGTGTACGTGGCTGGCGCCTTAGCCGGCTGAGCTATAGGCGCCGAGCCAAAAATGTTAATTTTATGTTATATGAATTTTACACTTTAATAAAATCTTGTGGCTAAGCCAAGCCTGTCAATATAAGTGCAAACAAAGGCTCTTAGGAATCTTCTTGTCCTTCCTATGCTATTTGAGCAACCAACTGCCCAGCATTCCTGAGATGATCCAAGTTCTAGTACAGATAGTCCCCGGAACCCCAGCAGTCCTCGGCAAATTGGGCAGTTGTCATTCTAGATGCTATCCCCAGTGCAGCCAGGCGCCCAGGTCACACATCCCAACTCCTGTACCTGGGCCTGCTGTGCTCAGCTGATTCTTTCTCACCTCTTACCCGCTGACTTTGGCAGCCACCCCTTGTGGGATAAATGAGGACCCTGGAAGTCATGTCTACCCAGCACCTCAGAAGAGGACCTTACTTAGAAATAGGATCTTTGTGGGTGTAATTAATCAAGGAGTAGGATGGATCTAGAGGCAATGACTGGTGTCCTAAGAAGACAGAGAGAGACACAGAGCTCCACAGAGACAGAGAGAGGCAGCCACCTGATGGCGGAGGCAGAGACTGGAGAGATGCAGCCACAGCTGGGGATTGCTGGCCACCACCAGGATTAGGGGGGAGGAGGGAAGGATCCCTGCCTGGTGCCTTCTGAGGGAGCATGCCCCTGCTCACACCCTGACTTCCGGCTTCTGGCCTCCCAGAGAGGAGACCATAAATTCCTAGTGGTGCAAGCCACACAGTTTCTGGTAATTTGTCACAGCAGTCCCAGGAAACCAAGAAACCTCTCAACCACATGGCAGCCAGCCAGATGGCCAGTGTCCCAGGTTACCTGCCCTTCCAATGTCATTACTAATAGTGTCCCTTTAGCTGTAAGAAGTATTCTCACTTAGGCACTAAGTTCTATGGTAACCACGAACATGTGTGATAAATCATATGCCATGAACATATGTGACACAACATCATGCCATGGACACATGTGATACATGATCATGCCATGGACAAATATGACATACCACCATGCCACGGACACATGTGACACACCACCATGCCATGGACACATATGATACATGATCATGTCATGGACACATGTGATACATGATCATGCCTGTATTCTACCTCCTATAACCCCTCGCCAATCTGCTTCTCCTAATCCCACCCCCCAAATCTATGGTACCATTGCCTACCACATAGACCTGTGCTGTCAGATAGAACTCTCTGTAAATTTCTGGTATATTTCTACATCTGTCTTGTCCATATGATGGCCACCAGCCACAGGTGGCTACTGAGTATATGAAATGTCACTGCAGCCAACAAAAAAGTAGGGGTTTTTTTTGTTTTTTGTTTTTTGTTTTTGAGACAGAGTCTTACTTTGCCGAGGCATCATCATAGCTCACAGCAACCTCAAACTCTTGGGCTCAAGTCATTCTCTTGCCTCAGCCTCCCAAGTAGCTGGGACTACAAGCATCTACACCACACCTGGCTATTTTTAGAGATAAGGTGTCACTCTAGTTTAGGCTGATCTCAAACCTGTGAGCTCAGGCAATCCACCTGCCTTGGCCTCCCAGAGTGTTAGGATTAAAGGCATGAGCCACCATGTGTGCCCAAGGAACTGATTCTTAATTTATGTTTAAAATATAAAACTGGCACTCTGGGAGACTGAGGCAGGTAGAATGCCTGAGTTCAGGAATTCAAGACCTGTCTGAGCAAGAGTGAGAACCCCTCTCTACCAAAAATAGAAAAACTAGCCAGGTGTTGTGGCAGACACCTGTAGTCCCACCTACTCAGGAGGCTAAAGCAAGAGGATTGCAATGAGCCCAAGAGTTTGAGGTTGCTGTGAGCTATGACACCATGGCACTCAACCCAGGGCAACAGAGTGAGACTTTGTGTTTAAATAAATAAACAAATAAAAATTAAAAAATAAAATGTAAAACTCATACTCCATTTGGTTACTGAAAAACTCTTAGGTTTTCTTTCTTTTTTTTGAGACAGAGCCTCAAGCTGTCCCCCTGGGTAGAGTGCCATGGCATCACAGCTCACAGCAACCTCCAACTCCTGGGCTCAAGCGAGTCT